CTATCCTACAGCGCCATAAATGGATACTATACAATAATTCTCTAAACAGAGAAAAATAAATATCCAATTAATTAAAACAAAAACAAACCTTTGGAATATGCTGGTATACAGTAGACATGCAATAAATGCAGCTGTCTGCTTCTTGAGCAAGCCTGAGATGAGTTGTGTGATTAAGTCTCCACCTCCTTCAGGAAGTCCTCCCTGATCTCTCCTCCCACGCTGCCCTCTGTCCTCCAGGATGGTGTTTAAGTTTCAGTGGACTGAGTGCCTTCCTCTCCCTCCCTGGCTGGAGGCCACCTCAGGACATGAACTAGAGTCCCCCACCCCCCATGTCCCCAGCTCCCAGTTCAGGACAGGACAGCCGATTGGGATCAATGCGTGTTTCTTGCTGAGAATGAGGAAGAAGCTGTCAGTGTCCTCATCAAGAATCCTGATCAAGCAGCCCTTGGCCCCAAGGAACTGGGTGTTAATCATTAAACTTGGGACAGTCACACACAGTCCAAGAAAGACACAAAACGCCTGACTGCTGTCCTTGTTGGTCCTCTCACTTGACAAATAGGGAAATGGGCAGGACAGGCTCAGACCCACCCGGTAAAATGGTGAGAGAAAAGATGTACATCTGATCATATATAACTCCCCTGCTTAAAACCTTCCATGGCTCCCTAGTGCCCTGGATAAGGCCCAGCCTCTAGATTAGCCCAGGTGCCCTGTGGACTCTGCCCCTCCTCTCCAACCACACCCCTGCCTTTTCTGTTACAGAACATACCATATGTTTCAGTTTCATATTTTTGCACTCTTTGTTCCTAATATCTTCCCAGCTTCCCACCACCGCCCCACTCTGGGCTGGGTGAGGAACCTGTTCTGGGTTCCTACCACCCCACCCTCTAGACTGCTCCCCCCCAACAGCACTAATTGTTAATGACCTTGCACAACCCCATTAGGACTTCACGAGGGCAAGATACACAAGCTAGACAGCTTTGAGTCTAAGCATCCCAAGACTTGGCACATAATTGTTGTTAAGTGCCATCAAGTCAGTTTCAACTCATATTGGCTCTGTGTAGGGTTTCTGAGGCTGTAAAGCTTTGTGGGAGCAGAAAGTCTCATCTTTCTCCCATGAAGTGGCTGGTGGACTTGAACTGCTGACTTTATGGCTTGCAGCCCAGTGCTTATCCTCCAGAGCCACCTTACTTTCATGATAGTTGTTGTTGTTAAGTGCCACTGAGTCGGTTCTGACTCAAAATGACCCTATATTGGGTTTCCAAGGAGCGGCTGATGGATTTGAACCACCAACCTTGCAGTTAGCAGCCCCGTGCTTATCCTAAAGCACCACACCAGAACTCCAGGGCACAAAAAGGTGTGCAGTAAAAATGTGATGAATGACTATTTGAAGTCATTTATTTGGGCAATAGCTGTTTGTTTGGGTTCTTTGGGTGAATGTAAATAACAGAGAAAGAGGTGCCTTCAGAAAATTGTCTTTCTCATGTGACAGGTAATAATTGTTTGCTGATCCTTAGCCTTGTCCCCCCTTCCATCCATCTCACACCTAAGCTGACCCCAACAGTGAGTGGTCCAGGGGGAACCACCTGACACTGGGGATGAACATTGGATTTGGAGAAAGAATTGGAGATGTTCATGCCACAATGTTGGTCCAGGTTGGGGACAGGATATCTGTGTCCTTATTGGCTGAGTGGCCTTGGCCATGTGAGCCCCACTCTGAACTTCAGTTTTCTCCTCTGTCAAATGGGACCACGTAATGTACATGCGGTGGGCAGTGAATGGGAGGAACAGAAAGATTGCTCGTATTCCCCTTTCTCTTCTATCCTGAGCCGTGGGGCCAGCACTGGCCCTTTAATGGGAGGAGGGGCCGTGGCCAGGGCAGGCTGCTGGAAACTGAGCGGAGCTGGTTCCCAGGCGGGTGGGCAGCAGGTCTCCGACTGCTGGCCAGGGAGGTAAGGGGTGTCAGAGGCCCTGCATGTGTGTGGGAGGGTGTGTGGTGGTATCAGCGGCTCCGGGGCAAGGTCCAGGCTGAGTGGGCTGGAAATGAGAGAGGGTCAGAGTGGTTTGCTTCCCACCAGGAACCCTGGAACAACTTGGCATGCACTGTGCCTAGCCTACTCTGAAGAAGAAGCGGGTACCCAGGACCCTGAATGTTGGGGATCAGGTGCTGCTGACCAAAGGGGCAGGAGTCAGGCACTCTGCCAGCTGAGAGCTGGCCCGGGGTTTCCCAGTCCTGGTACCAGAGATCTGGCCTGGATTGTGGCCTGAAGGGGGAAGGCTGGTGGGGGTCTTGTTAGTTGCTGTCATGTCAATGCGTGGAGACTGTGCAGAGCAGAGCGGCTTCTTGGGGTTTTCTAGGCTGTGACCTTGAAAAGAAACAGGTCGCCAGGCCTGTTTGCTGAGACCCCTAGGGGTGGTTTCAAAGTGCTAGCTGTTCAAAACCATCTGCCTTTTGGCTAGAAATAGAGTATTTAACTGTTTGCTAAACCCCAAAATAAAACAAAACCAAAAACCCCACGCCGTCTGCCATTAAGTCTTTTCCAACTCAGAGGTGAGGTTTCTGGGACTGTACATATTTATGGGACCAGACAGCCTCATCTTTCTCCCCCTGTAGGTTAGGCATTAGATTGCTAACTATAGAGTGATGGTGGGTTCGAACCACTAACCCTGAGGTTAGCAGTCTAATGCCTAACCCACAGCACCACCAGGGACATGCAAAGGGTCAAAGCCTTTCCCCCAATTCTCAGATGAGGCAGGTGAGGTGCAGAGAGGCCGCAGAGCCCGTGCCAGAAAAACAAACAAATCTGTTTTGAAAGAAGCATGACCAGAATGCTACTTGGAAGTGGCAATGGCAAGATTTGGTCTCTTGAACTTTGAACATATTGTCAGCAGGAACCAGTCCTTGATGAAGGACATCATGCTTGGTAAAGTAAAGGGTCAATGAAGCAGAGGAAGACCCCCAGTGAGATGGACTGACACAGTGGCAGGAACAATGAACTCAAACATAGCAAGTCTGAGGATGGTGCGGGCCCACAGGCAGGGTTTTGTTCTCTTGTGCACAGAGTCACTATGAGTGGGAACTGACAAGGGTACCTAACAAGAGCAACAATGTAGCCTATCCATTAGGGTTGCTGTGAGGATTACAGGAAATCATGTAAAAGGTGCTGGGCACAGTCTCAGGTTTGTTCAAAGTCCTACACTGCTAACAGCTAGTGTTGTGATCATTGTGGTTTTGAGATGACATAAAGGCTACCACTTACGGAGCCCATCCTGGGTGTCAGACACAGATTCAGTGCCTTTATGGTCTCACTTAATCCTCCCAGTGATGCACAAGTCTTTCTTGAAGCTTGTTGTATGGAGAATTCGTTCTCTGTACAACAACAAAGTAGGTCCCCTTGTTTTCCTCCTTCACAGATCCCTACACACTTGGTTCTCTTTTAGGATTTTTTACCATTTCTAATTATTTTGTTTGTCTAGGTGATATTTCTTAGATACCAATCTCCATAAACCAGCTCCAAGAGCAGACAGTCATCTGTTTTACCATGGTATCCTCAGTGTGTAGGCAGGATCTGAACCACATCGCTAGCTGTTCTGGAGTCATCTCCAACTCATAGTGATCCTGCACACATCAGAACGAACCATTGCCTGGTCCTTTGTCATCCTTACAATTATTGTTCTGTTTGAGCCAACTGTTGCTGTCATTACATTAATCCATTTTGTCAGAGGTCTTTTTTTGCTGATCCTCTACTTTGCCAAGCATGATGTCCTTTTCCAGGAATTGGTCCCTCCTGACAATGTGTCCAAAGTACATTAGATGAAATTTTGCCATTCTCTCTTTCAAGGAGCATTCTGGCTGTATTTCTAGATGTTAGAGTATCTCCAAATAACTCAACATGAGCACTAGGAACTGTTAATATCCCCATTTTTATTGTTGTTAGGTGCTGTCGAGTTGGTTATGACTCATAGAGATCCTGTATAGGATTTCCAAGGAGTAGTTGGTGGGTTTGAACCACTGACCTTGCAGTTCATAGTCCAGTACTAATTCTACAGCATCACACCAGGACTCTATTTTACAGAAGGATAAATTGAGGTACAGAGAGGTTGCGATATTTGTCTGGATCATAGAGTCAGAGTTGATTTCTGACTTTGTGCTTGGGTTTCAGGGCCAGGCGAGTCCAGGGTGAAGTGCGCTGGCTTTGAAGATAAGTGAAGGCCCACCCTTATCCTCCCCCTCTCTACTCATCTCAGTGTCAAGACTGGGAGGGGCACTAGATGGAACTGGAATGAGGTGGTCAGGCTTTGTCCTACCTTAAGAGTCTGGGAGCCACCTCGACATAGAACAGGGTTAGATCTAGGGATGGGAGGCCTGAACAGGTCTGATGGGGAACTTCAGCCTTGATAAAAAGTTAGGGTCTGTGGGTAGATGGGTGGCGGGGAGGCTGTCACGCTCACCCGGTAGCCGTCATTGGAATTGTGGGGCTGGTCCAATCCTTAGCGGAGCTAAGTGGGACTTTGTTTGCTCCTTTTTCCATAATGAATGTTTTTGAAAAAACATTTTCTTCCTGAGAGAGGTCTTTCTTAGCCATCCTCCCTAAAATAACACCCTCTGCATCCAATCACTCTTATTAGAAATTTTGTGGTTTGTCCTCAGGCCAGTGTTGACTATTACTGGGTCCCCAAATTGGAAACCACCTGGCATATAGTAGGTGCTCCACAAATGTTCTTCAGATTAATAAATGAAGTCCCCTACTCCCATGTTCATTTATTGATTACCATGTATTGGGCCCATTCTGCAGCCCAGGATGTGGGCAGCTGCAGTTACAGCCTGAAATGACCCCTTCTCCCAGTGGGGAAAGCAAGGCCCATCAAATTGCAAGAAAACTGCCTAGAGTCTCATGGCTCGGCAGCAGGGCAGGTCTCAGAGGGCCTGGGCTGGGGGACTCTCTCTGTCGCACTCCCCTGGAACCACCTAAGCATAGGCGTTTGTATCCTGTAGGCTCCCAATGGCTTCTGTCATGGAAGACTCCCTGAAGAGCCAGAAGTTCCACATTGTAACTCCTTTGTTGGAGAGTTGGGCACTGTCCCAGCTGGCAAACATGACTGTCCTCCTCAAGTATGAGAACGTGCAACCAGCTGGATCCTTCAAGATCCGGGGCATCGGGCATTTCTGTCAGGAGGTGAGGGGGTAGTGCTGGAGGGGTGGTAAGGATGTACAGGTAGGAGGAGGGCTGGATGGGGATGAGGGTAGTAGAAGAGAACTGGACTTGTACAGATGGGAAGGGAAGACTTTGGGCAGTATGGGGATGGGTGGAAGGAAGACAGTTTAACTCTATCCCACACAGCTTTTCTGACCTTCCAACCCCAACCCTTCTCTTTACAGGTGGCTAAGAAGGGCTGCAAACACCTGGTGTGCTCCTCAGGTGACCCACCCCTTTCTGTTTCATGGGACCCTCAATTAAGGTTGGGTCAGCAGTTGATGTCTAGGGCTTGATCTTGTCTTAAGTGTCTATCTCCATCAAGTTCATAACTTGCAATGGTTTCCACGTTCCATCATTCAGGGCTCCTGATAGCAAATGACAGAAACCCAATGCCTACAGGCTTAAACCAAAGCAGCATGAACTGAAAGCTCCAAGAACTGAAAGGTTCTGGGAGAAGTAGCTTTCGGGTATGACCAAGTCAAGGCGCCCTGTCCCTGTCTCTATATCTCCTTTTGGCTTAGTTTTCCTCTGTGTTAGCTTTATTCTCATACAGAGCTCATGACACCAAGGTGGCCACCAGGAGTTCCAGGCTTGCTTCCTATCCCCTACAAACCCTAATAAAAGAAAGCAAGCACCTTTTCTTGAGGGCTCCCCTAAGTCTGGAATTGGCCTTTTGGACTTGGCTCCTGAACGCAGCCCTGGACAGGGACTCGAGTTCTCAGATGAACTCAGTCTGGATCACGTGGCCACCTTGGGAGCCAGCGGAGGAGTCAAGGGCGGGTCATATGAGAATAGAGAAGGAGTGATTCCTTAATGGAGAATAAGGGACACGGGTGTCGGGTGTGTGTGTTTTGAGGGGGGGTTGTTTGCAGGCTAACACAGCACTCCCCACTGCACCCCTCCCACTGCCTCCACAGGGGGCAATGCAGGCATTGCAGCTGCTTACTCCGCTAGGAAGCTGGGCATCCCCGCCACGATAGTGCTCCCTGAGAGCACCTCAGTGCAAGTGGTGAAGAGGCTGCAGGGAGAGGGGGCCCAGGTGCAGCTGACTGGAAAGGTAAGGACCCCAGGAAGAGGGAAAACTGGCTAGAGTGGGGGCTTCTCTTTACTCCTCACCCCACTTGTAAAAGGTTCTGTCTATGTTTGCTTTCAATGAGCTATTGTCTCTTAAGATGACAAAGCTGAGAGGTGTCTCTTAAGATGTCTCTTAAGATGACAGAGCTGAGACAGAGAGTGAGGTATGATTTATAATGAAGACTGGGACCTGTCATTGGTCTTTCCCCACCCAGAGGAGACCCCCCATGCATGACCCAGGAGAAGGAAGAAACTGACCAATAGGAGCCTGTCTGTCTCCCCACATCCTCACCAACACTTGGTTGTATCCACTGTTACATCTTTGCCATCCAGTAAGACAAAAAAGCATCTTTTTTTAAAGATGATGGCAGCATTTTTCAATCCTAGACAACCCAACTTGAAAGTAAACAGACAGAGGCATGGAAACTTCCCGTCCTGGAAGCAGGAAAAATCATCCTTGGAAAATGATTTCTTAAACTGCTCAAAACTAAAGCTAAAAGCTATACCGTGGTACCCAAAAGCTAGTCTCCAAATACTTTGTGTATATAGTTCTCTCCCTTCCTCCCTTCCTCCCTTATTCCTTTTCTTTTTTTTTTCCTCCCCTCCCTTCCTCCGTACCTTAAGCCTCCAGGCACTAGGTTTCTGTTATTTGCCACCAGGAATCCTCCTTTCACCATCTATTTATTTATTCACCTGTCCAACCATCCCTCCATCCTTTTACCCTCCCCTCCATCCACCATCCATCCATCCAGATATTCACCTCATCACGAAGCTCAGAGTCACGAAGGCAACTCGGTGAAGACACCAGAGCAGGATGAGTGCCATGATGGGGGATACACAGGATATGAGGAAGAATGGAGAAGGTGGATTATACCCTTCAGCTTTTGCTGCTAGAGAGTGCTGTGTAACAAACGCCCCCGAAACATCAGTGGCTTATGAGAAACATTTATTTCTCTTGTTGGAGGGTTTGTGGCAACTAACTTCTCTGCTCCAGGTTGTAGGCATGATTAAGTCTTCACACGTCCCTTCATCTTCTTTGGCCATTGATCGCCTGGGTCATGGCTATCTCAAGGAGAATGGCAAAAGGGCTAGAACACACATATACCACTAAAGGCCTTAACGCAAAATGTTACACTGTTACTTTTCCCACATTCCAACTGTCCACCTGAAAGTCTCTGTCCTTGTCCCAGGAGGTGCCTGGGTCCATGCCACCTCTGTACTCATTCCAGGGATCTCTCCAGAACACTGGATCAGGGACCAATGGGGAGACCCCAGGTCTCTGCTCCAGCCTTCACTGGGATCTTGACGCTTGCATTCTCTGTAGGTCTGGGATGACGCCAATGTGAGGGCTCAAGAGTTGGCCAAGAGGGATGGCTGGGTAAATGTACCCCCATTTGACCACCCCCTGATATGGTAAGCTCCGCATCCCTCTTCAGAGATGAGAGATCCTTACTGAGTCAGGGTCCCCTCATTGAACAGAAGGGGAAACTGAGGCCCAGAGGAAAGAAGGGGCTTTGAAGTCAGAGTTCAGGTCCTGCTTTTGACACTTATGGGCTGTGTGACTTTGTATAAGGCGCCTCACCACCCTTTGCCTCAGTTACCACATGTGCAAAATAGAAATTATGTTAATAGGTCCTTGTACTGAGTATACCCTTTGGGGCCAGGGAACAGGATAAGGATTCTCCCTTTTACTCTTCTCTTCCATCTTCCCTAAAGCCCGAGTGGTGGGTATTGCTGTTGCCATACTACAGGTAAGGAAACTGAGGCATGGGACAGGGTTATATGTGTGTGTGTCAAGCAATTTATCCAAGATCACACAGTAAGTGAGTGTTGGAGAGATCAGTTCTGAAATTCAGAACTTGAGTTGGGTCGATTCTGAGTGGTGTCCTGGCCCCCTCTTAGTCACACACAGCAATGTTGCCTCTTTGCAAAGCCATGGGGGGCTTTAGTAGGGTAACGTCTGAGAAGGTGCCTGGAGGGAGAAAGAAGGAAGGAAGGAATAAATGAATCAGTGAGCGCTTGCAATAGAATGATCTGAGTGTGGCAGGGTCTCCTCCCGCCCTGCTAGGGATGGGGAGAGGATGGCATGGAGGGGCTTATACACATAGGGGTGAAGAACTTTAGGCTGGGGGCCTTCCTGACCGTGTCCTTCTTCCCACTTCCTCCCTAGGGAAGGCCACGCCAGCCTGATTCGGGAACTGAAGGCAGAGCTGGGAGCTCCGCCAGGCGCCCTGGTGCTGGCGGTAGGGGGCGGGGGACTGCTGGCTGGGGTGGCGGCTGGCCTAGCCGAGGTGGGCTGGCAGCATGTGCCTGTGATCGCCATGGAGACCCGTGGGGCGCACTGCTTCAATGCAGCCATCGAGGCTGGTTGGCTGGTCACTCTGCCTGACATCACCAGGTGAGAACTGGTAATTACAGGGGGCTGAAGGAGGGGGCGTCACTTCCCAGCGTTTCCTGGTCCCGGCCACTGGGGGGCGCCCAAGAGCGTCCGTCTGCATGGAGACCCCAGCACAGCTGGGTGGGTGTAAGTTAGAAAGCAAACAAACAAACACACACCCCTATAGAACAGAGTGAAATTGCCAAGGCTGAGATCTTTAGGGAAGCAGACTGGTATTTTTCTCCCACTCGAGGAATGGCTGGTGGGCTCGAACCACTACTCTTTCTATTTACAGCAAAGGCTCCAGGGCTCCTTAAGGTCAAAGGTTGTTGTTGTTGTTGTTAAGTGTCATTGAGTGGGCTCCAACTCATAGTGACTCAGTATAGGGTTTCCAGGGAGCAGGCTGGTGAGCTTGAACCGTCTACTGTGCCATTCAAACTGACTTTGCAGTCTGGTGCATTAACCCACAACGCCACAAAGGCATATTTAAAACTCATCAATTAAAAGCAATTTCGTGAGTTTGTATCATTACAAAAGCAACTAAAATGTGTTGCAGATAAGCTGCAAAATATAGACAGCAACAAACAACACAAAACAAAATATTTCCCTCAATTCTGTCATCCAGATGCAAATATGGCTCTGACTGGCTGTAGTTTTTCTAGTCTGTGGGTTTTATTTCACCCCCCTTGTACTTATAGGAACATTGGTGGTGATGTTGGATAAGCACTGGACTGCTAAGCACAGGGTCAGCAGTGCAAAACCCACCAGCCGCTCTGCGGGAGAAAGATGAGGTTTTCTGCTCTGGTAAATATTTACAGCTGTGGAAACCCTTTATAGGAATGTTACAAGTCCCAGTTAATTTGACAGCAGTGAGGTTTTTGTTTTTGTGTAAATATAAAGGAGATGCTAACTGAAAGTTTGGCGGTTAGAACCTTCTAGTTGTTTCATGGGAAAAAAATATGGCAGTCAGCTTCGGAAAAGATCACAACCAAGGAGACCCTATGGGGCAGTTCTACTCTGTTCTATAGAGTGTCTATGGGTTGGAGTCGATTCGATGGCAATAGGTTTATTTTGGGGTTTGTGTATATGTATTTTACATACAGGTAAAAATGTCTTGGTCCATAGTAGAAGCTCTGGTAGCGTAGTGGTTGCGAATCGGGCTGCGAGCCGTGAGGTCAGCAGTTCGAAACTACAAGCTGTTCTGTGGGAGAAAGATGAGGCGTTCTGCTCCCATAAAGATATATAGCCTCGTAAACACTGTACAGGGTTGCTATGAGTCGGATCCGACTCCACGGCACTTAACAACAACAACAACAACAACAACATAGTAGAAGCAGAACACATGTTTGTGGAATGAATAAATGATATACTTTAAAAATTGGAATTATATCCTTCAAATTGTTTTATAAGCTCTATTCTTCTAATGGACTCCCTACTTGGTGCAAATGGATGTCTCAGCTGCTATCTGAAAAGCTGGTGGCTTAAATCTATCTACCCGCTGTTGTTAAATGCCATTGAGTCGGTTCTGACCCATAGCGATCCTGTATAGGGTTTCCGAGGAGCAGCTGGTGAGCTTGAACTGCCGACCTTGCAGTTCAAACAGCTTTACAGTCTGGCGCATTAACCCACAGCGCCACACCAGGACTTTGTAGATGCATCAAAAGAAAGGTCTGGCCATTTGCTGCTGAAATGTCAGCGTCATTGGAAACCCTAGGGAGCACAGCTCTCTGATACGTGGGTTCACCATGAGTTAGAATCCACTTGGAGGCAATTGATTACTAGTGTTTTCCTAGCTCGTTTCACTTCTCTACTATTTTCTGCCACCTCATCAGAAAACTTGCCCCTACGCATTACATTTTAGGGGGAAATTTTATTTATATTTTTGTTTACGTGAACACTGTGTAAGAAAGCATTTGCCATTTCAACATTCTTCATACATACAGTTTAGTGACAATAACTTCTGTATTTCATGGTATTCAACCATCCTACATATCCTTCCCCAATTTCCCATCTTCCCCACTGCACTTTGTAACTGGTTTTAATTCAACTGGACAATTTCTTAAAAACAAGCAAATTAAATCAGCCTCCAGGTCCACCCTCATCTTTTTTTTTTTTTTTTTAATATTTTTATTGTGAATTAAATGAAGGTTTACAGAGCCAATCAGTTTTGCATTCAACACATCATACACTTCATTTCATTACAATGATTGCAATCCCTCC